TTTTTGACTGAAATCCATGTTGGGATTGGGATAGCAATTTTACGTTTTGAGCATGAGCTGATAGTCTGTTGTGGATTATGGTTTCAAAAATTTTGCTAAAAACTGTTAGATTTGAGATGAATCTATAGTTATTTGGATCCTTTGTACTCCCTTCCTTGTGTATAGGTGTTAATCTGGCTATTTTTAATTCATCCGGAAACTCTCCCTTTTTTATATGATCATTGATGAGTTTGACTAAGGTCGGCGTTATGATTTCAGCTATTTTTTTTATAAGTGATGGTTTTATTCCGTCATATCCGGGTGATGCATTTTTCTTTAGTTTTTGTATTGCTTTTTTCACCTCAGTGTTGTTTGTTGGGCGTATATATAAAAGAGCTTCTATTGGGTATTCTTTGTTTTCAATTTTTGGCCCATTTACTTTGCTTGCTAAATTTTTTCCTATTTCTGTACAATATTTATTTAGTATTTCCACTATATCTTTTTTATTTTTTACTGTTTTTTTTTGTCTTTAATTTCTTTTATTTCATTTTTTTTAATTTCATTTGTTCCTTTTTGGATAGCATTTAGTATTTTCCATATTTTTTTGCTATTACCTTCACCTTTATTGATTTGTTCTGCATAGAACATGTTTTTGCTTTTTTTTATTAGTTTTTTAAACATGATCTGTTTGTGTTCATAGTTTAGTTTAAGCTGTTGACTTTCTTTGTTTTTTATCATTTTTTTGTATGCTGTGTCTCTTTTTTTCTTGCTCCTGAAAACTTCTTTGGTCATCCAGCCTTCATGAAACGATTGTACATATTTTTTCTTTATTTCAACTGTGTGTTTGTTTGTTTCTTTTGTTATTATGTCCTGTAGGTCTTTAAAAGTTGTAATGGTGTTCACGTTAATTACTCTTTTTAGTTCATCTTTTAATTTTATTAAGTTCGTTTTCTTGTTTGTGTAGTATTTATTTTGTTTCTTTTCTTCTCTTATTTTAAAGTTCAATTCTATTTTTTTATGATCACTTAGTGGTGTATCTTTGAGTATAATTTCCTTATTTTCAAGATCAGTGTTTGTTATTATGTGATCTATTATAGAGTGCCTTCCAGTAATTTTGTTTAATCTGGTACAGTGTTTTTTATTTATTTTATTAATGATTTTGTAGTTTTTTTCCTTTAATAAATTGATATATTCATTTGTTGTTTGGTCTGGTTCCAGTATGTTTATGTTTAAATCACCCATTATTATTGTTTTTTGTTTATCCTTTAGTATATTATTGTCTATATATTCCATAAATTGCTCCCTATCTCTTTTCTTAGGTTGTCTATAGATTGCATACAATATTATGTTTATTTTGTTTATTTTGATTCCAAGAATGTTGTTTTTATTTAGATGATTTGTTTTTTCTATCATTGTTGTGTTTAATGTGTTTTGTGTATAGATTGCTACGCCACCTCCTTTACTGTTTCTGCAACTAAATGCACTATTATAGTTTTGAATATTGAAATATTTTATTTCATTCTCCTTTAAGTGTGTTTCTGTGAGTATTAATATGTTTGGCTTTTGTTCTTTTAACATTATTTTTATTTCATTTGTTTTGTTTTTTATTGATCTTATATTTAAGTATAATATTTTAAAGACCTTGTTATTTGTCATTAGTGGTTTTTTTCTTTTAATCTCTCTAGTTTTTCTTCGTTGTCGATTTCTTCGATTTTACTTGTTTCATCTTTTCTCATTAGAATTTTATTTTTATTAAACCACACAAATTTGAAATTTATTTCTTTTTTTAACTCTCTTGCTTTTTTAAACAGGATTTGATTTTCATATGTCATGTCGTGGTTTAGAAAAATGTCTTCATTGCCATTTTGTCCAATTTCTTCTCTTTTTATTCCTTTTTTAATTTTATAGTTTGAAAGTAAGTTTTCCTTAACTTCCATTGTGGAAAAAACTACCTTTATTATCGGTTTGTTGTTATCCTTTCCTATTCTTTGTATTTTTTCAATGTCTTTAACTTCTATTTTGCTGTTGCACTGCTCTCCGATACTTAAGATTACTTCCTTGTATTTGTTATCATCTTCTTTTGCCAATCCCATTATTATTATATTCTTTGCTAGTTTTTCTTGTTTGGTCTTATTTATTTCTGTGTTGCTGTAATTGTTTTCTTTTTTTAATTTTGCTTGCTCTTTTTTTAGTAGTTTTATTTCATTTCTTAGTTGGACATTCTCTTTATTGATATTTTCCATATGCTTCAAAATTTTTTCGTATTTTTCTTCCATCTTGAGTAGTTTATTCATTACATCATTTATTGTGAAAGATTTATTAGATTTCTTTTCAGTATCAGAATCACTTCCTGTTGTTGTTTCTTCTTCCGATGATGAAGATTCAGACATTTCTGCCTCTTGTTCTGATTCTTCTTTACACTGAGTACATTCCCATTCAATTAATTTTGATTTTTTCTTGTCCTCAAGTTTTTCTATTGTTATGTTTGTGCACATTTGATGTGCCCACTTTTCACATTTTATGCATTTTATTTTGTATGCATTTTTTGCCAAAGCTTTATTGCAGACTAAGCACTTTATGCCTTTGGCTTTTGTTTTTTTCTTTTGAACCATTTTAAAGTTCACTTTTATTATATTATTTGGTTGAAAATTATTTTTAACGATCTATAGGTTAAGCTTCTTCTTCTTTGGTTATCTTAACTTAATTTGAATTGTTAACGAGACTTGGAGAATACTATTTTCATACTGAGCACATCATTATATTTAAGGCGCATTCATGCTCACTAAAATAAGAAATAAGAAATAAGAATAAGAAATAAGAAATAAGATAAAAAGTTAAAACTGTGTAAAGTAATGGTTACGTTCATGCTCATGAAAATAAGGAATAAGAAATAAGAAATAAGAATAAAGATAACAATTTTTAACTTTGGTTCTTATTTTTGCGTATAAAACTGCGCAAAGAACCAAAATGGGTCTGTGAATTATTTTGATGGGTATTATTTGTTATATGCATGGAGCCATGGTGTTGTAAATCGCGTAGAGTGTCGCTGTCGATTGTTTACGTTTATAGCCAATATAATCCACTATAATAAAATATAATTGTGTGACAACATTTTTTATTTCTTATGTTATCAGCATGAACGATCAATCGCGGTCTTATTTCTTATTTCTTATTCCTTATTTCTTATTTCTTATTTCTTATTTCTTATTCTTATTTCTTATTTTAAGTGAGCATGAATACGCCTTTATACAGGGTTAGCCAAAAATCACGTTTTTATATAGTAAAAAGCATAATGCACAAAACATGTTTTGTGCATTATGCTTTTTACTATATTAAAACGTGATTTTTGGCTGCAGATTTATCTCCAAAAAAATTTATTTTATTTAATTTTATTCAAAATCAATTTTTCTTATAAAGTCTTGATAAGAATCCCATTTTGTAGCCTGATAAACATAAAAATACCTATATAAAAAAAAACATGGGTGGGTATATATCTTTTTTGCGTGTTATGCCAAAATCATGAATTTACGCTTTTGCTTTATTAAAAGAAGCGATTTTTGGCTAACCCTGTATATATTAAATGATGTGCACAGTATAAACAGTATTCTCAAAATCTCCTTAACAATATAATCCAATATTATAAAAATCGGTGTACAAATGTGTACCTACTCTGTCAAAGGTAGACATTAAGATAAACAAAAATTTTCAAAAAATCATGAATTTTCAAAAAATTTCGAAAAGAGGAGCAGCTAGGATTTTGGTAAATATCATTTTTAAGTCACCAAAGGGTCCCGAACAAGAAACTGCAATCAGTTTTTGTCGTCATTTTTATGTGACCTAAACTTCGTTCAGGCACACCGTGTAGAGGCTAAAGCACACAGAAAAGTAATGTCTTGATTTTAATACATTCGGCTTGGCTTAAATAAATTCTTTATTTTGATATACACAAAAAATGTTTATTTGGTGGACAACTTATATTTACTTGACATTTAACTTATATTTGGTTAATACAAGCAAATATTTATTTGACTTTTTATCCCAGGTTTAGTTAGTTGGCTTACAGAACAAACAAATCATTTACTAGAAGTAAGTAAATCTTTTTACGTAAACTTGTATATTTATTTCTGACAAATAATATTTTAATATTATAATTTCACCAAATATATGTAGTGATTGAACGAAACAAATGTTTGCTTTTTTTCACCCTAATTTATTTATTTTTAATGTTGTCATTTACTTGATATTTCTAATTGCAGCTGCGCTGTTAAGCAAAAATGACATATCTACAATACCTTAAATTATATTGCGCATAAGGAATTTTCGCTTAACAGGGTAGTTAGAACGTTTTGATAATTTAACATTTTAACATTTACATTTAAAAACGTTCGTTCTAATGTTTTTTTTTATTTTAACTTTGTAAACAAAACATTTTTCTTATAATTAGCGTAATCTACATACTGTCAAAAATGACTAATTGTCATAGCGAAAAAGCAGCCACTAATAATTCTTGTCAAGAGCAATTTGTATCCCGGACTTTTAGTAGTCAATTCCTGTGCAAAATTGTCTGCATAATCCGAAAATGTCGTCAAAAGTTATAAAAGTAGAACAGTTTTTGAGATATAGTCAATTTTCCATCTAATATGGAATTGACTATATCTCAAAATCTGCCCTACTTTAATAACTTTTGACGGTATTTTCGGATTCAGGGGACAATTTTACATAAGGCCGATTCCATTTCAAATCAGGCAGCAAAAAAAGTGACTGTCTCAGATTGCTCTTTGGTTAAAATATATTGTTTTTTTACTTAAATTTAAGGTATACGTATTTTTTCTTTCGTCGATAAAGTCATTTTTCGCGGAGTTACGAGCATTTGCGATGTTATAAGCTGTAAAGCGAAGGTGCTGAATTTTTGCTGTATATTTTTTTTAAAACACAATTTTTCTGACAAATTTTTATGGGATCCTATTGTACTTCGACATAAGGGACAAGTATGAACCAAAAGAGATAATAGACTATGAGATATGGCTAAAAGGTTAGGATAAACAAAATGGCGGTCCATTTTTCAAAAAATACAAAAACTTGAATATCTCAAATATATCATTATTTTTTTTCACAAAAATTTAAACGTAGCTTCTTTGAAACATAACAGTCAAAATACAATTTGTCCGATAGCGGCTAAAAAGCTGTAGGAAACAGTATTTTGTTTTTAATTAGCGAAATATTGAACCTTTATTCAACATTGCATACATTACTATATTAAAGTGTTTTTTGATATATACATGCTTACTTATGTTTGGGGGTACACATTTTTGATGTGCTGGTTGAAACATAATTTTTATTTTTAGTTTATTTATAACATAATCTCGATAAAATGTATGCAGCTGCAATAAAAGCTATTTAGCAGTCTGTAAATAACATAAACGATTAATATATGATTAGTTTAATTATTTGTTAAAATTATATGACATTTGACATCTGTCAGTTTAACTCTAATTTCGTCTTATTTGCTAAAAATAATGCAATTTATGTATTTTTAGTATTATAAATTAAGACTTTTATACACAAAAAATACTTATATTGCAATATTTTCAGAAAATAAAATTAAATAAGCGTTAAAATGACGGATGAAAAAACCCAATTATTTGTAACAAATGTCAAAGTGGCCGTTTTTGATTTAAATGATAGTACATATTAAGTGTATATTTAATAAACTGTATTGAAAACGGCTCTGTAAAATTGCAATGTAAATTCTTTAAAGCAAAAGGCGCAAAGTTTGCTACAAACGCATTTTCCACGTAGTAAAAACACCTTAGTTTGTAAAAATTGCTATAACCGCTATAAGAACTACACAGAATTGGGGTCTCAAGAAGCTGATATGGATTTAGAGACATACCATTCTGTTTCGTACACAGAATTGGGGTCTTAAAAAGCTTAGCAAATAAGACGAAATTAGAGTTAAACTGACAGATGTCAAATGTCACATAATTGAACTAATCATATATTAATTGTTTATGTTATTTACAGACTGCTAAATAGCTTTTATTGCAGCTGCATACATTTTATCGAGATTATAAATGTTATAAATAAACTAAAAATAAAAATTATTTTTCAACCTGCACATCAAAAATGTATACCCCCAAACATAAGTAAGCATGTATATTAGGGTGTGCCAAAAAAACTCGATATGTTTTTTTTCTTGCTCTCCACCCAAAATATCGTAGAATATGTCCGAATAAATATCCTGTTAAAAGCGGAGCTCATAATTTCAATTTTAAGAGGTCCCTCATCGAATCTGAAGTTTTGCCGCTTAAATAACACAGAAAACTGACTTTTTTTCCTTATTTATTCTTGCAACCTAGGAAGAAACTTTTTTTTCATAAAATCCATGAATAATTCTTACAAAGCATTAAATTTGGACAAAAAAATCTTATTAAGCCGAATTCCTATTTTCATTATTTGATTTTTTACAGAGCTTTAAATTTAAGTTAATAATACAAAAATGATGAATTTATACGCCTGTAACTTTTAGAATATTGACGATACAAAAAATTCGTCTAAAACTTTTTTGTGGTCCATCAGACAAGCTAAAAAAATGCCATTTGACTTTTTCGTCTAACTTCAATAGTTTAGCTGAAAAAGGCAAAAAACGTAAAATTTTAAATTTAAAGCTCTGTTAAAAATCAAATAATGAAAATAGAAATTCGGCTTAATAAGATTTTTTCATCCAAATTTAATGCTTTGTAAGACTTGGTCATGGATTTTATGAAAAAAAAATTTCTTCCTAGGTTGCAAGAATAAATAAGGTAAAAAAGTCAGTTTTCTGTGTTATTTAAGCGGCAAAACTTCAGATTCGATGAGGGACCTCTTAAAATTGAAATTATGAGCTCCGCTTTTAACAGAATATTTGTTCGGACATATTCTACGATATTTTGGGTGGAGAGCAAGAAAAAAGAAATATCGAGTTTTTTTGGCACACCCTAATGTATATATATCAAAAAACACTTTAATATAGTAATGTATGCAATGTTGAATAAAGGTTCAATATTTCGCTAATTAAAAACAAAATACTGTTTCCTACAACTTTTTAGCCGCTATCGGACAAATTGTATTTTGACTGTTATGTTTCAAAGAAGCTACGTTTAAATTTTTGTGAAAAAAAATAATGATATATTTGAGATATTCAAGTTTTTGTATTTTTTGAAAAATGGACCGCCATTTTGTTTATTCTAAACTTTTAGTCATATCTCATAGTCTATTATCTCTTTTGGTTCATACTTGTCCCTTATGTCGAAGTACAATAGGATCCCATGAAGATTTGTCAGAAAAATTGTGTTTTAAAAAAAATATAAGTACAGCTAAAATTCAGCACCTTCGCTTTACAGCTTATAACATCGCAAATGCTCGTAACTCCGCGAAAAATGACTTTATCGACGAAAGAAAAAATACGTATACCTTAGATTTAAGTAAAAAAACAATATATTTTAACCAAAGAGCAATCTGAGACAGTCACTTTTTTTGCTGCCTGATTTGAAATGGAATCGGCCATAAGAATTGGCTGTTAAGGTAAACTATAGTTGTCGTGCTGTAAGCATACCATCAGAAAATTTCAAATTTTTGTATACGTATTAAGGACATGACAATACAATTATCCTTAAAATTTGAAGACGATTGACCGTCTATAACCCGAGATAAATTCAATTAAAAATTGGATAATTAACATGGATTGTATACGCTTTCTGTAGTTCTGTACCAGTTTCTTAGTTATAAAATAAAAACTAACTGTCAGAAGCTTTCAAAAAACTAACAGTCTTTTAATGAATTTTTGCTGAGTTTAAAAAAAAAATAATTAAAAATTTTTGACCGTCCAATTGTTTATAAATAACCGTTTAAAGTTTAACAATTTGTAAAAAGTATACATCACTAGTGTCAGATAAAAACAACTTGGCAACGCTGTAGGCGAGTATAGATTCAAACCGACTGATTCAGTCTCCAATATATCTATTGGTTGAGCATAAGCGACGTTGCCGGATTAAAACTTATGAAAATATTTGAAAGTATTACGTAAAGGTAACGTCTCCAGGGTACACTCTTGCGAAAAAATTATGAATCACTTAGCTACAAGCTCGTATACTTTTACGGTGCGTATAATCTAAAAAATTTTGACAATATTGTACCACGACAACTACCTTAAATGTCCAAGATACCAATTGCTGTGGACTACAGTTATAAGTGGCTACTTTTTTACTTTGAAAACTAGTAATTTATGACAAATTTATTTTTGTAGGGGTATGATTCTTTTCTTATATGTAAAATTATAAATAATAGGAACATTATATACCTACTGGTAATTTTTAACATACATACTATAACATACATGATTAAAAATAGCAACATAAACCCCCCCAAAAAATAGGAACAAAAAATACTGCATGGTTACTTTCAGTACTCTCTTAAAATAAATTAGTCAAAAATATTATAGTAAAAAGCAACCACTAACAATTCTAGTCTCCAACAATTTGTATTCCGGACATTTAGCAGTCAATTGCTACATTTAAAGTAATACCTATAGATAGCACTTTTATTCAAAAAATAATTTAAATTATCTAAAATGCTCTGTAAAATTGTTAAATATGAGATACGTCCTTATATGATAATTGGGACGATATAACTTTGTGGTTTGCGAACTACCTATAGATAGCTATTCCGGACACCTAGGTAGTTCGCAAACCACAAAGAGCATTTTAGATAATTTAAATTATTTTTTGTGCTATCTATAGGTATTACTTTAAATGTAGCAATTGACTGCTAAATGTCCGGAATAGCTATAGGTAGGTATAGGTAATTTTAATTAAATCACCTTTTCTTACCATTAAAAAGGGGAATTAAATAAAATAAATGATTTTTAGCCAAGAATTCTTCCATTTATGTATTACATTGTAATTCATATGGCCGCTTCATATATACAGAGGCACCAAACTACATTAAAAATCCGCCCACTATATCATTAATATTATAATAATAATTATTATTATTATAATTATTAATATTTTCTTATTCGCAGTAACTTCTAGTTTACTATACTATATTATTATTTGATTGTAAACCGCAGGTTTCTTTAAAACAACTTATTGTTGTAATTTATTCTAAAGAAATATTCATTTAGAGCTATTAATTAAATTGGTTTGATCTGTTTTTTGGATTTAGTAGAAGCATATACTTGTACTAAATCCAAAAAAATAGATCTAAACAATTTAATTAATAGCTTTAAATGAATATTTCTTTAGAATAAATTACAATAAGTTGTTTTAAAGAAACCTGCGGTTTACAACCAAATAATAGTATTTTGTTATAGTAAACGAGTGTGTAGTTAACCTTTTCTGTAAAAACTTTTTTTTGACAGTTCCAATCGAAATGCATTTAACGGTTCTTTTAATGTTACCATCTGAAAAGAATATATTCTTTAAGTTATAACGTTATAACGTTAGTTAGTAGTGTAGTAGAAAATATTTCCAGAATCTAGATCTAGATCTACATCTAAAAAACCAGATAATAAACATGTTATTACATTTAGCGCAATGACTCATTGCTCTCAAGAAGCCATGAAAGAAAATAATACATTATTGGAGATAACTCAAAACCCAAACGACTTAGTAAGTACCGAAAAGCCAAATTTCATTGAGGATGGTCCCACTGAAGACTACCCAGAATATACCGAAAACGACGATGTTACTGAAGCCAAACAAAAGGTAAAGACAATTTCAAAATCCACTTGCCAAACGAAAATCTAGAATTCTAAAATTTAAGGTTTTCGTTGTACTATACAAAAAAATAACTAAATATTTGTAGTTTTATGATACCCTCTTGAATGTCGAGGAAATTTGTTATGTAAACGGTAAAAATTACATAAAAGGTTTGGTAACTGGCGAAGGACAAACAATGTTGAAGACAGACGATGTAAATGTAGCTACTTTAAAAGAACGAGGAGTATTTTTTTGCGATGTAACTCTAAACGCTTCAACAGTACAATTGACACCCACTTGCGACTTTAAACACACCCTGGAACCTCAAAGTGTAGTGGTAATAATTAAAATATATATATATATATATATATATATATATATATATATATATATATATATATCACCAAATATTTTTTTTAAATGTGACCCTCTGAATTTTTTCTTTAAATCAGAATATGGACTCGCTAAAGATTTGAGCGCTTACACTGTTTAAAATATATGTGGTGTAAAAAGTAATCTTAAAATGGTGTCAAAATACAACACCAAGTGGTGTTAATATAACCATGTACCGATCGAGGCAAAGGCGGTGTGGATCACGTAATATTCTTAAATCTCGCCTCTGTTGACTTACATGAAGAATATATAAACGCAGGTGGTCCTTTGCTTTGGTGTGACGTCAACGGCATAAAGACCAGGAAGCTAGAGATCGAGGCCCTACTAAACGAACTTCGCCCAGACCTGCTCTTGCTTACTGAGACAAGAATCACAGGTAATTTCTCCCCCAAATTCGCTGGATACAGTGTTTATAACTACCCCAGGCCAGCGCAGAACGGCGGGGGTGGCATCATGTTACTTGTTAACCTCTCTATTCCTCACTGCTCATGCCTAAACATCCAAGCACAATATGACACCCTCGAGCACGCTGCCGTCTATGTGGAAACCAGTTTCATAAATCGACTCAAGGTAGCAGTGGGGTACTTCCCCCCAGGCCACCCCTTCCCCGAAGGCGAATTCACCGCGGCCCTCGCTGAAGACATTCCTACCTTTTTCGGCGGCGATTTCAACGCCAAACACCATTCATGGAATAGCCGAAACCCAAATCGAAATGGAAACAAGCTTCACCATCTGGCCATGTCTTCAGCCTGGGATGTCCTAGGCCCTGAAGACCCCACTCACGCCCAAGCCTACCATCTTCCAGACGTGTTAGACATCACTATCCTTAAAAACTACTCGCTGGAAGCCACTGCCCTCACAATCACTGGCTCCACTTCAGACCACAACCCCGTCAAATTTCATGTAGGCCCCCTCTGTCCCCGAAACCAAGTGAAATCAATCACAAAAACAAGCTGGTACACCTATCACCGCCTCCTGTCTGCCAATGAAGATCTAACGCCAACCCCCACGACGCCTGAAATGGTGGATGCCCTTGCCATCCAAATATCTCAGCAAATCCACTCAGCACTCCAACAGGCCACTTACGCTAAAACTGTCCCGATAATGTGCCCCTACGATATCTCGCAGGAAACCAAGCTACTAATTAGTGAAAAAAGGCGGGCAAAAAAGAGGGCTGAACGCACACTAAACCCGGCAGACAGGAGAGCTTACAACCGTCTGGCAAGCCAAGTAAAAACGGCGCTGGCCGACCACAGAAACGCCCGATGGGGGCACACTCTCCAAAACCTGGACCCTGCAAAGAGTAACGATATATGGAGAATAATCAGGGGTCTAAAAAACCAGGAGCCACCGCAAAATCACCCCCTCCAGGGTCCAAACGGCCTCCTCTACACTGATCAGGAGAAGGCTGACTGTTTTGCAGAAGTCCTCGAGTCTCAATTCACCGACAATCTCCCCCTACCAAGACATGTAGAGGAGGACCGCAGAATGGCGGACTTTGTGGACGAATTCCTTGCCGATGACGATCCGGAAACCATCAGGCCAATTTCTTTTGACCTGATTACAACTATCATCAGATCATTAAAAAACAAAGTCGCTCCTGGAGAGGATAAAATTACCAACCTGGCCCTCAAACACCTGCCCCGAGTTATAATCAGTAACATAACAGCCCTGGTAAACGGAGTACTACTCACATCTCACTTCCCCTCTTCCTGGAAAAGGGCCCAGGTGATTCTACTTCCCAAGAAGAAAAAAGCCAGGCATCTTCCTGAAAATTTCAGGCCCATCTCTCTTTTGCCCTCACTGTCAAAACTTCTGGAGAAAGCCATCAAGGTCAGACTTGATGAGGAAATTGAGTCGAAAAATCTCCTGCCAGACGACCAATTTGGTTTCAGGCCCCAGCTGTCAACCGAGCTACAAATAACGCGTATAGCTGAGACTATCACTCACGGCTTTGACTTCAAACAGAAAACAGGTATGGTGCTATTAGACATCAGTAAAGCTTTCGACAGAGTGTGGCATGTTGGACTTCTTATCAAGCTCATAAACATGGAGATCTCACCACCTCTAGTCAAGCTTATAGCATCATACCTGTCTGGCAGGACTTTTACCACCCAAGTTACCACCGCCCTCTCTCTGGCCCACCCCATACAATCAGGAGTCCCACAAGGATCTGTACTTGGACCCACCCTCTTCAATCTTTACTTGTCTGACCTTCCGCGCACTCCAGGAGTCCTGACGGCAATGTATGCTGACGACACCGCCCTCGTTTACAAAAGTACTAACCCTGGTCTAATCGTCCGCAAACTACAAAAGGCACTGGACAGAGTCAAGTCCTGGGCCGACAGATACAGGGTTAGAATTAACCCTGAGAAAACGCAGGCCATTCTATTTAGGAAAGGAGGTGCGCTACCAGCTACCCTTAAATATGGCAATCAGGACATCCCCTGGGCCCAGTCAGCCAAGTATCTGGGAGTGATACTGGACGAGAGACTAACCACGCTGGCAAAAATTATAGGCATCACCAAGACTTTAAGGCCACTATACATCGGCAACTTCCTCAGCCTAAAGAACAAGCGAACAGTCTGGATAGCGATCGTCCGGCCAATCATCACCTATGCCTGCGCAGCCTGGTCAACGGCTGCGAAAACGCACCTGAACCTCCTCGAAATCCAGCAAAACAAGTTCCTTCGAATCATTACCAGGGCCCGATGGTTTGTAAGAAACGCTCAGCTAAGGGAGGAGCTCAATGTGCCAGAGCTAACAACTCACATATACGCCCTTGCCAACGCCATGCTGGATAGAGCAGATGCCATCAACAACAGGGCTCTCCACAACGCCCTGGATTATAATCCGGACGATCGACGCCTCTACCGAGGCATTCGGGGCACTGTTCAAGACCGTCTACACCACCACAGACCCCCCTAAACCATAAACACAATTTTCATTCAAAACTTACCACAAATAAGGCGCTTAACGCAAATTTTTCATGTGGCATTTGTCATGTGGCTCAGTCAAATGAGGTTTTTAAGTGGCCGCACCGTGCGGAAAAATTTAATTCATTTCGATTTTTTCACTTATTTTATGTTATTTTTTCACGAAAATTTAACACGTCAATAAGCGAATTTTTACAAGCCCCTTTGGCTTTTTGGAAAATTTTTGAAAATTTTAATTTTTATTCTAGCAACTGTGCAGTACAAATATCATCATTTCTCCAATTAAAAAGTCAAATAAAATCACGCAGCCATTTTTCAAACACACTAATTTTTCTCAAACACTAGTCAATCAACAAGTCCTTGCCTCACAAGCTTAATTAAACTCTCTCCTCAAGAGATATGCTCAATTTAAACTCTTATAAATCATAATAATCAATTAACTCTTTACAGCTCTCCAAGGTATCAGCCATCCACTCAGACATACCATATGCAGACAGTGGGAGCGACTGATTTATTATAACCAGCTCGTTCCCATTCCCCTGCTATATTAAGTAAAGGCCGCTGGCGGACCCAAACTACCCCACCCACATCTCACCTCATCCCAGTTTTTACTATGCTATAGTACTTCCACTCCCACCCATGCATTCCTATCCTCAAAGTAAGGGCAAAGGGTCACTATGACCCGTCCTTTGCTAGGGCAATAAGCCCAGTTTATTCATTTGGAGGCTACAATTTGGTATGACACTACAAGTTGTTCGATACTAAAGAGACCTTAAATAGGTGGAAACAGCTGTCAATACTTGAAGTATTTTAATTTAGTGGAACGCACTAAAAACATTATCTCTAGCGAGTTGAAGGTTCCATTTTCTGGAATAATACCACTGGTAATATACTAGTAATGCGTCAAGGAACTTCCTGTTTCTTTTTTTTCTTTTTTCTGTGTAGTATGATTTAATTTGACCACAAACACATATTATATAATATTTAACACTGAAAAGGAGTTCAATTTACACCAAGTAAAATTTATTTTAATACTGTGTGAAAGTTAAATTAACACCATTTTAGTATTTGAATTTACACCGGCCAACGAACCATATTTAACACCATTTTGGTTTGTATCGATATAGACCATGTATGGTGTTAATTTGGTGTTAAAATGGTCATGAAATTTTGAACAGTGTAATATTAAGTACTTTCGTAGTAATTTTTAACTTTTTTGTTAATTTTTTTATAGTTCCCACCTAAACATGTTTTATAAAAATACAAACAGTAATAAATTCTTAGCTTTTTAATTCTGTATTTAAGTAATAAAATAATTGTATTTTTTTTTAATAATTTAGGTTATGCATCTATCAAATAAAGGGTGTCCAAATTTGACCTTCCGATTTAAATTGACCGCCATATCTAGTAATCTTCATTGACAGTTTTTCTATAGTTACATATCTTAAGTAAAAACTTTGCGGTTAGTAGTTTCTTGGTCAACATGGAGCAGCTATCCATAGAAGAACGAGTTTTTATTCTAAAAACTTATTACCAAAATGGAGAAAGTTTGGCTAAAATCGTAGTGGTTACATTCGAGGTGTCCGATCAGAAGAAAACAATGTTTTCTTCTGATCGGATACCTCGAATGTAACCACTACGCCTGTTAACTTCTACAGTCTGTTGAAATTTCTTAATAAAATTCTCAATAACTTTAACAGAAGGTGCTAAATTTCTTCCGAAATGCGTTTCAGCCAGTGATGCCAGATATACGGATTTTTCCGTATTCTACGGAATTTCGAGTGTATTGGGAAAATATACGGATTATTATACGGATTTTGGGGGCAATACGGATTTTATACGGATTTATAACAAGTCCAAATTTTATACCTAAATTATCGCCAACTCTGTAGTTACAGCCTTTCGTTCTTTGGGGTGATTTTTCCCTGAATACTTGTAGGTTAAAAATCTTTTTTTTCCGGTTTTACTTATCCACAAGACTGAACTAAATACAATTATCTGTAAATTA